TGGGGGTGTGGGAGGGGGGTATTAGGGTGTTGGTGGGGTCATTGGGGGTCATGGACCCCGCAAAAGACAAGAAGAGGTTTTTTTGTGGGGTGCCGACCAACAGTAGACTGGTAGGCGCCAATGGGTGGAAAGGTTGGCTAGTTGATCACGGACCAATCCAGGGATGCCGATCGTCAGCATGACTACTCTGCTTGTGCCTGTCGAGTATCTGAGTAAGAAGATGCCTACCGAAGGGTCCAGCACTTCCGTATATGAGTGAGAGCTCTATGCACTTATGCGGCCCTCATGCATTGAAGACACTATTTGCTGGGTTGCCATTTCAAGGTGTTCTCAGATCACCAAACCTTGCAGTGGATTGAAACTCAACCGAAGTTGTCCTATACCCTTTCCAGATGGATTCAAAATAGCTTTGTCTTGGCATCATTGTGGTATAAGTCTGCAATCTGGTCCCTCTCCAAGGAGTCGCTCCACTCGATTCAGCATCAAGTGGCAGCCTTCCTCTGGAGAGGGAATCACGAGCTGAAGCACTTGCTCAGGAGGGTGGCATGGAACTTGATAATCCAGCCCAAGGACAAGTGGGGGGCTTTCCTGGTTCGCGACCCGAGTAGATGGCTGGAGGATAGGTACTGGCCGATCCCGGTGCGAGGCAATCTTTCCGAGGATAACTTCTGGTCCTCCCTCTTGCGCGCCCCTCCCAGATAAAGTGGCCCCTATGAGATGGGAGGACATCATAAGGAAGCCACTTTTCAGGAATCAATGGATCACTGATTCCCATGGCAGGATCTTCGACTGCATGACATGCCCATAGAAGGGCTGGTCCAAACATGGAATATGGAGGATAGGGGACGTTTGGGAAATAGAGAGGAGGGACTGGCCATCGGAACAGCAACTGAAACTAAACTTAGATAGGGTTTGGCCGTTAACCTGCTCTCCCCCTCGACTGGGTGTGAATCTTGAAGAAAGGTCCTACTTCTGACTGGGTGATGATCCGAGGGGAACCAGCGATGGTAGGCAGTGTGGTCGATGTCCACCCATCTAGGTCCTACTTCTGACTGAGTGGCGATCCGAGGGGAACCGGCGATGGCAGCCAGTGTGGTCGATGTCCACCGAGATGGGGATGTACTGATTAGCTACTTCATGAAGCATGCAGACGGCTGCCTTACACGAATGGTGCCGGAGGAAACCGGCGGGGTACCCAGGGAACAACTCTACCGTAGTACAGTTATCTGGGTGAAAGACCAGTGGGCGGCATTTAAACCAGATATTCCCATTTCGGAACTGGCCTTGTCCCGGAGAGCTGGATATGGACGAGGGTTAGGAGTGGGGGGGAAGAAGGCGGAGGTCGCTGTGCACCCTTACGGTTAAAGCAACTTACCGGATGCTACGGCCCCGAGTAGACGTAAAGGAAATCGTAACTCGCCGTTGGATGAGGCACCTAAACGTCAGCAGGGAATCTCTCAGATCAGTTAGCTGGTTTGGGGGCCTAAGAACCAGCCCAGAACATATATCTTCGCTGCAGTGGCAAATTGCCCACCGACGTTTGCCCACCAGTGATTGGTTGATTGATAGAACGTGGCTGGAACAGCAGGGTAAGGCCTCCACGTGGTGTAAACGCTGCTGCAATGCCCGGGCGTGGTGTGGACCTGGCGCTGGTGGGACCGGGTATGGCAGCTACTGGGCATAGAGGAGAGATGACAATGGGATTGGAACACGGTCCTGCTGGGGGTCTGGCACCCGGAGCAGGACAGTGCCTTTGTCTCCAACATGTTCAATGTGGGACGAAAGGATGTACTCTTTGGATGGAGGGGGTTCGAGTGGATGGCCCAGAGTAGACCGCAGGTATAACGCAATGTGTGCAGACGGAATTGAGATTGCAATGGGAAAAAATCAAAGGAAAAATCAAACGAACTATTAAACAACTGTGTCTGGACTGGTTGGGTGGGAACAAAGGGTATGGATGGCAGAGGTGACCTGGAAGGGTGGGCATGGGGAGGACCCGCAGGAGACATTCTTCGTCAGGGACTACACCCTCGTCCACTTCGACTGGGCGCGGCTTGCTACTGCGCTTCCCATGCACCCCCCCTTCGATTTTCCTGATCCCTTCCTCTCTCATGAGCTGGCAGTTGTGGATTTGCAATGCTATGGGGGAATACAATGTGCTGAATGGAACTTGTTAGCCTGCAACCGGGGGCTAGTACTGATGGGTTTCATTTGGGGACCCAAAAGGTTGAAGAGGCGCTCCCGAGGAGGCAGGCATTCTGCTTGGAATGCACGAGCGGTTGATCCCCTGGAGACGGGGTAATCAATGCCGCGGTGTGCTGTTGTGTAATTATTGTCAATGTGAGGATATCTGGTTGTTTGATGGGACGCTGGACCCAGTTTCCAGCAGGCGCTGCTCCCCACCAATAGACAGGGGCTGAGGGCAAGGGGGTTCTACTAGAGGATGCTCGTATCACCTCCAATAGTAACCCCACCCTTGTTCAAAGGGGGAAAAAAAAAAGGGTGGCAGATGCTCTCTCACGATGACCANGGGGAAAAAAAAAAGGGTGGCAGATGCTCTCTCACGATGACCAGACTTGTCTGTACTTGAGCCTTGATTAAACGACACTATTAAACAGACCATTAGGCAGTGATTAACCGGGGATAGTGTTTCCGGATCCATTTTCGAAGACGTACATAAAGACCCAGGTTCGGAAGACTAGTACCATCTTAGGGAAGGACTCCTATTGCTCACTGACAAAGGGAAGGAGAGGCTGTCTATTGGTGACTCTGAGCCTTTGCAATCCCTGATATTGGGTGAATGTCCCATGATGTTGAGGGTCATTTTGGGTTCTGCAAAAGTTCAAGCGTTCTATTAGTCGGGAATGGGAACTGCTTTACAACATACCTCGGCAACTTCGAGGTTTACCAACGGACTAACATCCATACGCAGAAACCTGTGGCTTGCAGAAACCACTCCCAATTCCACCTCGCGTAGGTCAGTCAATTGGAATTGACTTTACCGACACTTGAGCTGAGAGTGGAAGTGGTATGTCATAAATTATGTGTTCGCGTGGATTGGTTTACTAAATATGTGGAATTAAGTGGACTTCCCGATGAAAAAAAAAAAAAGTCAACTTCCCAATGAATGTTGGATTTAATATTTATCGATGGGGCATACCCAAGTTGATTGTAACCAATAGTTACACCTGCTGTGCAAGCAACACAGAGAAAATCACGCATGAGGCCGATGTTCTTTCTCCGCTGGGCAGGAGTTCCAAACAGGTTGAAGAGATGACTTAGACTTGGTCTCCTACTCGAAACCCTCCTATGGATGGCATGTATTGACTGTAAGGTGTTGACTTACAACCTACAACCGTGTTGGTCACCAGACTGCCAACGAAAGTTGGAGCTATGATAGAAACCTAGTAGGAGAAGAGGTAATGACAAAGAGTGTGCCAGAGCGAGCAAATGCTTTGGCTGGGCTGTTCAACTTGCCCACACTGCAATCTATTTTGACCTGAAGGACAGGTGTGTGGCGCCCACTCGGTAAATTCCAGGCAAGACTGGTTGTCTAGTGCACTGCATTGAAATGCCGCAAATCATAGTGAT